ATTATTTTATTTTATTAATATTATGTTATATTGTTGTATTATATTTTTATATTTACATCAAAAACGCATTTATTAAATGCATTTTTATACAAAATGAATCTGAAATATTTTTTTCAATACAGAACGTTTTCAACCATTACGCATGCGTAACATGCTCTAATCATATCAACTTCTGATGTGAAGCAAATGGAACGTGCTTCTAATTGATCCATGGAATATGCTCTAACGCGACTCAACATCTAATCGCCATATTGGTTCAGGTGACGCAAATGTATTGAAGAGTGTTAGGCATGTTGGAGCGTGCGACGCGGACAAATCTTAGGCCACTGGCTCATGCCGCTTACCGCGCATGTAAGGCTGAGTTTATATCTTAACGGAAAAGCGGAAAGCAGAAAAGCGGAAGCCAATTAGAATTCGCGGAAAGACAGAAGCAGACAAGCGAAATGTACTACCTATTACTACTGCGAGTTCCGATTGGCTTCCGCTTTTCCGCTTTTAGTTTTTCTGTCAAGGTGTGAACCCGGCCTAAGGATGCACTCAAATGGAGCGGATCTGCGGAATAAAATTATAAATATAAAATTATATATATAAAATTGGCGGAATTAACGTGATTGATCATTGCTTCGTCCATTTTTATCATTTTTCTTCCGCGAATTTTCTTTATATTTAACGGATTCCGCAGAGATATGTATTGAATTGTATGTGCATTGTGTTTATATCTTAACCCTTCTTTATATACTTTATATACTTTATATACTTTATGTAGAAGTCTTTGTGCGCCTTGACCGAATAGGACGTGTTTACGCTCTGGCTCGGGTATTGTATCATTTAATATTTTTGGAAAGTGAGACCGACTTGACAATTGCATCATATAAAATTCAAGCAGGAATTTCAAGTTTACAGAATTCCTTCCATTCGTCTGGACGCGCATGCGGTACGGAATAATTGAGAATGGCAAACAATGAAAATATTGTAAGTATATTATAAGGTAATTCTTCAGAAGAGTTTCCTTATCTCCGATTTCGATAAAATTAGGATTATTTGATGCGTTTTTGCATAAAACGAAAGAATCTAGCAGAATAATTTCATCGAAATCAGAGGTGAAGAAGCTCTTCTGAAGAATTACTGTATGTAATATTTTAAAATATTTTAAAATAAAAAGTTTTAAAATGTTGTTACGTAACTTTTGAAGAGTAAGAGTAAGATATGGATATTATGAATGGTTTTTACCAGAAAATTATGATTTGCTGCAACATTCTTGTTTCCATCCATTCGATGATGACAAAAAACTTATTATTGACGAAAATCTGATTGTAACTGTAGGTAAGTCTACATTGCATTATAAAAGTCTATTATAAATTACAATACAATAGGCAATAATACAAATACAAATGCTTTTTGCGCATATTTCAAGAATAAACTTATAAGATCAACAATGCATTTGCAATTGTACATAGAACCTATTGATTACAATAAAACGCAAAAAGCAATCTAGAATGAAAAGGAAATGTAAATTTTAGTTTTAATTTGGCCGTTAAATTATTTAATCAAATTTATAATTATTTTTTTCATTAATATTATAGTTTCTAAAATCACCGAAGACGAATATATGTCTGAATATTTTGGAATTGAAAATTGAAGATATCAATGAAATTACAAATGAAGTTACTATTGATGAATTTTTAATTACATGCGTTTCTCAAAAAGGATTATACGATTATCGACTCCCTGCCAGTTCCAGTTCAACTAATCTCAAAAGAAAACATTATGGCAAAAAGTTTTGAATATGATGAGAGGTATGTAACTATATATGTGATACATAATTATAATGATTTAAACAAATGTTTATTATAATTATTTTCTTTTAAGGACAATTATCTGCTGAAAATGCAAAAAACCGTTGGAAATATTTGAGAGATTGCTATATGAAAGCGAAAAAAAAGCAACAAACTTATATTCCCAGCAGCTCTGGAACAATTCCGAAAAAAAAAATACATTTCACTTTTTTGAGTAAATGAAATTCTTGATGACACCTTGCAGAAGTTATCTCAATAAGTATCTATTGTGATTTATTTATTTATTTATTTATTTAATTATGTTTATGTTCACATGGAAAATATTGAGTAATATAGAACATTTAATCTAAAATAAAAATACACATTTTATTGTAGTTTACTATATTTTGTTAAATGAATAATATTTATACATTATTAGAGCACTAGTTCTTATATTATTAGTATATATAAAGATTGAAAAGAGTTCAAAAATATCATTTTTTTCTTTCAAAATGCAGCAATTTATCAAAGGCAGCTCCATCAACTAATAAATCGCCATTAGCATTATCGGCTACTACACCATTGCCAATGTCCAGTAAGGAATCTAAATGCTCCATATCATCCGATATTGTAGATGACTATTCACCAAAAAATAAGTATATTACATCATTCATATGGACAGAAAGGAACAGAAAGGATATGAGGAAAGCATACATAGAATAGGATAGCGTTCATTCTATTTACGATAAATGAGAAAATGTGAATGTATTGCTTAGTATTTTAAAATTGTATGAAAAAGCATATTTGAATTTAAAATTTTAGAGAATATCATTTTGTGCGATAAATGTGATTATTGTACACATGAGAAGTAATTTTTATATCTATGTATGTTACTTTGATTATATAGTATAAAAACTAAATAAACATCATGGAAAAACTTGTTATATATAAAATGAGTGCCTTTATCACACAAAAGAGTTTACTTTCAAT